TAACGGTTTTTAATTTTGTAAAAAAAATTAAATTCTTGAAAATCCGCGATTTTTTCTTTTTAAATCCGCAAAATTTTGTTCTTCTTTGTTTCAAAATGTAAATAAAAAGAAAATGTTCACAATTTAAGTAGAAGATGGACGCGAAGCGCCCTAAAAGCCTAGTATTCTAAACTTGAGTATTTGATCGAACATCGAATTTATAGATTAAAATATTAAAGATCTACGACGTCACATAGATTTAAGGTTTAGAAAAAAGTTAATGGAGCGAGGTATTTTCTAATTGATAATTAATGGTTTATGGATCCATACATAAAATCAATTTGTGTTTCTTAAACCTGAGGCCAAATTTAATGAATTTGAGCCGCAGCTTAAATTTAAGCCGCGGCTCAAATATGATTGGTTCCACTTAAAATTGTATTAAACTTTTCAAGATTTAAGCCGCCGCTCAATTAAAACCGGTTCTTTTAGGATTTGAGACGCGGCTTCAATTCATTAAATTCGGCCTCTGGTTTCTAAAACGCCTACAGTTTCATCTTTATGTTTATGTAACAAAAATACACGCTAAACCTCAAACAATAAAAAATGTTTATTTTCAGTTTCATCTTTTTGTCTATGTAAGAATTTACGGACGAATACAATTTGGCACTTTTCTAAACAAAAATGTTAACCGATCCTTTAAGCACGTGTTTCTATAATAAAAAGCAAAACAAAAATTTAAATTTTTTTTCTTACTTTTAAATTTATACAGCGCATCACTTTTTAATAAATAACAATTCACTAGTGTACGAAAAAGTATATTTTTTTAAATTAGATATGCGTACCAAAATCCGTCTTGAAACATTGAATTCAAAAATGTTAAAATCTTAAAAATTGGTTAAAAATGGAATGTATTTTAGGGAAAAATATGACTTTTTCCAGAGTCATTCAAAAACAATAGTTTTCTTTGGCCTAGATCAACCAATTTTCACAATTTCAAAAATCCAACAACTGGGCAGTATTCAGTGGTTTAAGGCGGAACACCCATATCGACATGTTTAGAAAAAATTGAAAAATGGGCCTTCCTTAGTGATTGTTGATTTTAAAAAAGTGCTTGCGCTAAATATTTTTTAAAAATCCAAAAATAATTCATAACGGTTTTTTGTAAGTTTAATTGAACAATTTTCGCTGCGTGTTGGTAATTTTTGAAAAAATTTCATATTGTCCCAGGATTACTTTTACCCAATACTTTTTCTCTGTATTTATACTTTCCACTTGATCTCTTCTAAGTATGTGAATTTCCTCAAATTTTTCCCTTTTTCTCTGCTTATTTCCTTTCCTTTTCCTTTCAACATTTTTCTGCAATGCTCTTTTGCTCTTTACTTTTACTTTCCTTTATACTTGCTGTTCACGTTTCATTTGGTACTTTGCCTTTCCTTTATACTTGCTCTTCACGTTTCATTTGGTACTTTGCCTTTCCTTTATACTTGCTCTTCACGTTTCATTTGGTACTTTGCTTTTCCTTTTTACTTGCTCTTCACGTTTCATTTGGTACTTTGCCTTTCATTTTTACTTGCTCTTCACGTTTCATTTGGTACTTTGCCTTTCCTTTATACTTGCTCTTCACGTTTCATTTGGTACTTTGCCTTTCCTTTTTACTTGCTCTTCACGTTTCATTTGGTACTTTGCCTTTCATTTTTACTTGCTCTTCACGTTTCATTTGGTACTTTGCCTTTCCTTTATACTTGCTCTTCACGTTTCATTTGGTACTTTGCCTTTCCTTTCTAATTGCTCTTCATGTTTCATTTGGAACTTTGCTTTTGTAGTATTCTTTTTAAACGTTCATCTATATCTAAATTTGTTTTGTCTGTCTGTTTGTCTGTTTGTCTGTTTGTTTGTATCCAATAAACGTCAAAACGGCTGAACCGATCGGGCCCAAATTTTTTTTGGGACCTCATGTGACCCCAGGGAAGGTTTATGAATGATCAAAATTTTAAAAATTTTTGTTTAAAAGTTTTTTATTTTTGAAAAATTTTAAAAATGCGCAAAAAAATATTCTGAAATCCGCAAACTTTTTTTGTTTTTGTTTTATACTGTACAACAGGGGTTCAAAATCCCATCAGAGGGATTCATATAATCATCTATGGGGTTCACAATCATATTAGATATTCAGATATTCATCCCGGAGTCTATACTTGGGGTTATTATAAAAATTAATGAGAGATTGTTGTATTCATTTACAATTTTTAAGTTGATTACTTCAGATTTACAATTTCTTTATTCCCACATAGGATAAGACTTCGGAGACGATTGTACGATTGAAACTTCTCTTTTTGCGAAATCATTACATTTCAAGGCCACAATCAAGGAAAAAGAGTTTTAACTTTCAAGTCGTCTTAATAGTTAATATTCACGCAACCTCCAACCATAGATTTCACTATTCAATTCATGTTTATGACGTATGATTGATTATTTCTTTATGTATTCTTTAATTCTATTAAGCTGACGTCTGGTTTACCCAAAATAGTTTGGGGGTGCCTATTATGGACCATCACCCTTTATTTCCTTATTGTGGCATAAATCTAAAACTTTTGAACAGCCCTTTAGCTCTACTGTAAAAATCTCCCAACAAATATGCAAATTTCCAAAATTTCAAATATTTATTTCAATATCAGTTGTGTTACAACACTGGGTTTAAAATAATGATGAGAAATTAGAGTTTGTGGGGAGTGTTCAGTTCCTTAGTCTTTGTATTATGATAAAGGTTTTAATAGTGCCTATTTCAAAATGTGGTTTACATTTTTACTGTAAACCAAATTACAAAAGATCGAGTGGAAGAGATATTAAATTTCTAGTTAATTTCTAGTGTTGTTTATTGAAAGAGATAAAAGCAAGACACGAAATTATTATCTCTCTATTTTGAATGTACGAAAAAGCAAATGAATTTTTATTTTCTATTGAGCGATTATTGTTTTAACTTTGATACTTGTTTAACCAGTTATAAAATAAATCTAAAATATAGATAGATAGATAAATAGATAAATATGTTTAATTATCATTTCAAATTTTTACTTATAGTTAAGCTTTTTAAACAAATATCTAGCTCAGAACTATGGACAATGATGGTTTTGTCATTTGATTATCATTTTTGTGCAACAATAACGTAGAAAAGTGTTTTTTAGTTTTTTTGGAAAAAAGTTGTTCTTTTTCAAATGTTTGAACAGTCCCTATAATGAACAAATCAAGGTTGCAGCATGAAGTTTGCAAGAATAGAAAAATGCAGATTCTTCTTTTCTTTGTCAAAGACTGGGAGAGGGGGGGGGATGGGCGTAGAATGGGGGGGGAATTCCAGGACAGTTTTGTTCAAAAATACGTTGCACAAATAAAATGGTAGGGGGAACTGAGGGTATCCCCCAAGCTAAGATATAGTATGTAAGTGAAGACTGTCTCAAGGGGGGGGGGGTAGGAAGGAGGTTCGGGCAGGAGAAGACATGGTAGGGGCAGGATAAAGCTAAAGAAAGGGGAGAGTGAAGGTTGAAAATAAGGAGTAGGAAGGAGAGGGAGAAGGTAGGGAAGGAGAAGACATGGTAGGGGCAGAATAAATGCAAAGAAAGGGGAGGGTGAAGGTTGCAGATAAGGAGTAGGGAGGAGAGGGAGAAGGCAGGGAAGGGGAAGGCAGGGAAAGGGGAGTAGGAAGGTAGAGGAGGGGGAAGAAAAAGGTATAAGGGGGAGGGGAAGAGCGCTGAGGGAAAAGCAAGGGGGGAGGAGAAAAGAATGTTTGGTGCACCAATCATCATTCTCGGATGATGAATTACAATTTCATGAGACACCCATATGTATACATATATATACATTATTCAAGCAATCTTTATTTCAATAAATCTAGTATAGTGGTTTTCTGAGTCAACCTTCTTTGAACAACCCATGTTTAAAAGACATTCAAATTTTATAGACTTTGGACGTCGCCCCTTATATTGGATGGTGTACAGTTTTAGATTGGGATATTGGGGATATAATAGAGAATTTAAAATACTGTATAAGGCATGCAGATCAAACAGATTATCAAGTACAATAGGTGGCAACAGAGAAATGGACCAATTACACTCGACGACGTCACAAGTGTCCTTCAAGAACGAAATTTTCTCACATGTTTGACATGTTTACCAAGATTAAATAAAAAGTGTTAATACAGAAAATACAGAACACAAAATTGCACTTATTTTACTGTAAGATAAACACTTCATTTTTAAATTATCACTATTATTAATAATTTTGTCGGACACAAAAACTGAGTTGACACTTGAGACGTGAGAATACAGCTATAATGAGAGTGTCCAATTTTTACGTTGCCATCTATTGTACTGGAATCTATTTGATGATGCAGATTGCAGATAATTAAATTTACACGCAAAGTTAAAGTGAAGTATTCTGTATTCATTTTGGCTTTAAAGCTTTGAAATGATTTAATATCGGACAAGTTATCTTTACGTTAAGGTACAGTGAGAACCACAAAACTCCGACAAAGGAAGACGACTTTCGGACTGTATTATTACTATAAATAGTCCAATTAACATGAAATGATGAAACACAGAAATTGTGCAGTGTAAACAGACCAATTTCCCTTAAAAAGTGATTTAAAAAGTTACTAATAAAACTATTTCATCTGTAACAACTTCGAAATATTGATTTAACGTCGTCTTCACATTCCAGAGTTGTCTGGTTCTCGATGTAGGTTAGTGTATGCAATATGCATGTTTTTCAGGAACTTCAAAAATACAAGAAGCTGGTCTGAGAATTTAGTCCGGGAGGGAGGGGGAGGGGGGGAGGGGGTACAGAAATCCCCCAAGGTTTTTTGGGGGATGATGACCCAAGAGGGTTAAGGGACGATACAAGATGGTTGAAGGGGAAGGGATGAGCAATGAGGGGGGGGGAGAGGTTTAGTTTGACCGAGACCTTGTAATTTAAAGATGTCCATTGTTACGGGTATATATAGGATAGCACAATACAATCTTTATTCACAGTAGTGACTTGTAGGACCAGGAGAATGAAGGTACAAAAATCTTCTTTAGATACTGTCTGATGCACAGTGGTACCCTTGAAACTTTTATCTGGTCAATGATGTGGAAGAAATTGTCGTTTTTCAATGTTTAAAAATTTTAATTCTGATCATTCATAAATGTTTTTCTGCAGTAGAAATGCGAAAGAAACTTTTGTAGAGAAACCACAATTTTAAACATTGATATCTAATTCATTCTTGATGTGACAAAGATTTAAAGGAAACCATGGTGAATTGGGCATTGTCATTGTCATGCATGGAAATTTCAAATTTTTCTGTCATTGTTTATTTTAATATTACCTAATTTTGAATCATATTTTAGTTTATATTTGGTTTGGTGTGTGTCGGGAGTGTGCTGGCGGCGCCTCAAAGAATCGGAGAAGGTTATCTTGCTCCGCTGCCACAAGCCTCCGATTCCCTATCCTCCGCATCCTCCTCCTACCTTTCTCCGGACTTCGGAGCATCTGCCCGCCAAGCTGTTGAACTCTACGGAGTTCCTGAAGATGACATATTTACCCTGCCTAGTGATGCCTATGTAGTTTATGATCTTGAAGAAGATTCTAATGATCAGGAAGAACAGAGTTTCAGAACTTCACTGGAAAATGTTGAAGTTTTGCCCAATGAGCCCGTAATTTCAAATTATGAAACCCCTTTGGACATTGGATCATCAAGTGAACCGATTATTACCAACTATGATGTTCCTTCAAATGAGGTTTTTGAACTACCAAGTGAGACTATAGTTGCTGATTATGGGGCACCCTTAGACAATATAATTGGATCTCTAAGTGAAACTGTGGTATCTGATTATGAAATTCCTTTGAGCAATACTTTTGATTCTTCTGATATCTCTAGCTATTCATCTAGCAATGATGGATATGCTAGTGAGAGCATTGCAGACAGTTATATTCCTGCTCTTGATGATGAAGTTTATGCACCCCGGGCACCAATCATTGAGAATTCTCAGGTGAAGCCATTTAGATATCTGTCAGGCACTCTTTTAACTATCTAAGAATAATTAAATAATTATCTATATTTTTTAATACAGTTTGTTTTACAGGAAAATATTGTGTCAGAGAGTCAGGTTAAACAAGTAGCAACAAACCCAGAGTCTTTCAGATCCTCAAGCAGTTCCAGCTCCTCAAGCAGTTCCAGCTCCTCAAGCAGCTCCAGCTCCTCTAGCAGCTCCAGAGCATCCAGTAGATACAATCCTTCCTCGAGCTCCAGAAGGCAGATCAGGATTCTCAGCCATGACTTCTCTGACACCAACGATGGAAACTGGAATTATGCATTTGAGTCTGAGAATGGTATCAAGCAGGAGGCTAGGGGAGAAATGAGGTCCATTGGAGATGCTTTGGTAGGATTTACAGTCAATAATGAAACTACAAATGAAAAATGAAAATTTATTCATTTTTTAATATTTAGGTTAGTGTGATGTCAGGTTCTTACTCCTACGGTGGTGCCGATGGTTTAACATATCAGGTAGGACAACCAAAATTTGTNATAGTTATCTACCGGTGTGCCCAGTTAGCTGTACTGCACACATATAACTGCTTACTAATATTGATATGCTATAGGTTAATTAGGCCAGAATCAACTTATAAAAAACAAATATGCAGTACGCTCTCGGTATAGTTCATGGCCTATACAATTAGTAAAGGATTAGCGTACATCATCACTCTATATACTATAACCTCGTAGGAATTATATAATTATACTGAATTCGAGTGGCAAATGGAAAATGGTACCGTTGTGAATCTGTTTTTATCTAGGTCGACTGGTACGCTGATGAGACAGGATTCCACCCTTCTGCTCCTCATCTACCAAAACCCGTTGAAATCTCCCACCCTGAGGTTGCAGCTGCTGTTGCCGCGCAGCTTAAGTTTGCTGCTGAACAAGATGCTGCCGCTGCTGCAGCTGCTTCAGAGACAAACAGGTAAAGCTGCGAAAATAGCGGGGGAAGGAGGGAAAATGCGGGAAAACTTTTAAATATCATTTAATTTCGCAAGCTGTCCATTTAAAACTAATTTTGTATTCCACATGTTTTGTCCGTTTTTTTCTTGCATAATTCTAAAACCATAAATTACGTTGATTTAATATTCGGTGTTGGTGATGCTCCAAACCTTCCACACAGTAAAAAATAGGTGTTAGTTCCAAATAATTGTTGAGAATATATTCCGCTCTGTTCTTGAGATTTGTTTCTGTCCTGAAGATTCACGTTTATGTTTTCTTTTCAGTGTTATTGTGCCTCTCAGTTCAAACTTCGATGATCTCTCCAGTTATGAAGATGAACCTATCTCTAACTACGCTTTTTAAATGATAAATATAAAAATTGCTTCAGGTGTAATGATCGCAGATGAAGACATACAAAAACATGTTTTACTATTTATTTTGTTTATTAATTATTGTTGTGTTATACAGTCCTGTTTCCCATGTGGGAATTTCGAGGATTCTGCTATGTTATGTTTTTAATAAAAATTATGAATCATTGCAATCTTTTGAAGTGTTTCGAGTGTCCAAAACATTCATGTTTACGTCAGAAATTATGTGGTCAACATTTTAATCAATTTTTAGAATTATTCACATTTTTGTTTCTGAATCTTCCAAAAGATGGAGGGGGAAGGGGGGGGTTAGTTTGTAAACTTGATAAGATCTAAACCGATGGGCGGGGGGGGGGGGGTCCAAGTAATGGAATTAGTGACCAGTGACCACAAGAATTCGTAAGGGCCATCTGAGAATTTATGGGGAGGGGGAGTGGGCAGTTGGGCACACGTAAAAGTAAAATACGTTTTTGTATTTGAATCTTTAGATTTTTGAATTTATCATAAAATATGTAGGATTTATAATTTAAAGTTGGGTCTTAAATGGATACTTTTTAGAACGCAATATTATTTGTGTAGCCATATCTGATCCAACTGCAGTCTATGTTTCAATTTCTTGATATTTATCGTACACAGTACGATACCTTCTTTCCGAGAGTAGAGGTCTCTTACTCCCTTGTATTTTACAGTGGTCACTTGAGCATTTATAAAATGCAAGTTAGATCTACGTATGACTATTTAAAGGCACGTTGAAAGCGTAATGTCAAGTGACCTTTTTCTTCTCGGTTTAGAAGTGTTTAGTTCTGATAATTTCCTTATAATTTACTGCAGTAGAAATACGCAAGTAACTTTTTTAAAGAAAAAGTTGAAAATAATCAGTTTTCAAAATTCGAAATTCAAACTTTGATAACTAAACTATGCTTGATCAGACAAAGTCCAATTTGTTAAGGCGAGATTATTGAGAAAAAACTAGGCTGCAAACCTTATTAGTTAAGGGTAAAGTTGGTGGGAAAATGTAAATATCAGTTTAAAATTGTAACCTGAATAACAAAAAGTATGGGATATTTTAAGTTTTTTTTGCATTCCACCTTTTGACCGTCCTGTATCCGTCTTAGCCTAAGTATTGAAAAATTCAATTAATATTTCTGAATTCTTTTTAAAATGTTAAAAGTGATATAGTGTAAAAAATTATAGTACTCAGGTTAAAAAGTAGCAGGGTGCGCCCCCCCCCCCCCCCCCCCCCCCCCCCCCCNAAGTAAGTAAAGCTTTTTTGATTGACTATTTCTGTTGACTTCCATGTTTATGTTAATCCATGCTGTTTAACCCTAAACAGGCAGGGGGGGGCCTTTTTTGTCCTAGTACTCTCATTTTTGACACTATCACTGTGAAATTTTGTGATTTTTAATGAAAAGTAATTTAGAGGATTTTTGTAAAAAAAAATTTTCAATGCATAAGGTTCGGCACAGGGAGGAAAAAAGCCCGGTCTATCGAAAAAAAAATCTCAAATAGTGCATAACTTTTTTTTGTGACTAAAGCTACATATCTAAAAATTTGAAAATCCTTTGAAAAATGGTTATAGAAGCATGTGTAACACTTTGATATTTGTTTAAAACAAAGACAAATATTTTTTTTTCATTTTCTGACCCTTTTTCTGGCCTTTTTTCAACCCTCCCTAGCACCCAAACTTTAAAAGTTATCGGTCTAAATTTTTTTTCAATTAACTGGCATTGGAAAGTTGGGCTATGCACACTCATTTCAGCCCTAGCTATACCTATTATTCTAAGGCTATTTTCTAGGAGAGGGGTGTCAAACGCCCCCCCCCCCCCTCCCGGCTATACATAGATTTAAACCCCCCAGCCTTTATCGAAATTCTTCTTCATTGTATTGATAAAATCGCCTACTACCATGTTTTACTACTCAATAGGGTTTTTAGTGGCCTATCTAAATCACATTATTATAATTATTAGTAATTATTATTATTATTATTAATGATTACTCATCGGGTTATTTTTTCTAACGGAAAGTAGTAATCCATTGCCTAGCAAATTCCTTTATAAAATATTATCAAGAAAATTCCAAAAACTATTATTTTTCTTAGTAAATGAACACTTGTAAATGTTAATTATATGGCATCGTAAATCGTTTTATTTGATTTGAAAGGAAGTGCTAATGAGTTAAAAAAGGACCGTATTCGTGGGTAAATAAAGATTTAAGAAACATCAGTAAGAAATACAAATATTACTGATCATTGGGATCACTTTTTATTTAGTCTGTCAAGCTAGTTGAAAGTTCTAAATTCAAAATTCCTTTAAATTACTTATTCCTAAAAGTCAAAAACTTTTAAGGTGTGGAAAAAGATAGCACTAGAGAAAAAAAATTGAATGGGTCACCGATACTCCCTTCCCCCTCCACCATTTTAGGGTTTAATTATATATTCAACAATTTAATCAAGAAAGAAGCAAGTTTACTGTTCAAGAAAACACAAAGTTGTCCAAAAGTTCAAAACCGATTGAAATTCAAAACAAATGCAAAAACCAACTTTAAATCTTAAGTATTTCACCAGAATGATTGGCGCAAACCTTGAATTCTTGTTAAAGGGAGTGTTCGCAAAAAATGAAAGGGGATATTGGCTGAATGCGATAAAAAAGCGCTTTTGAAACAAAATCAAAACTAGTTTGAAATATCACCTATATAATAATGTGGCGAAAGATAATCGATGACTATAGGTTGTAATATCTGAATGATATGTTTGAAATTAAATTGATTTTTTGCGGTCTTACTCGCATGTTGCAATTTTCTCAATTTGTATGGACGCCATGTTACTCTGTATGAGACGTCTTTAACAATTTTCTCCTTATAGACGCAACAGATAGAAGTAAGATTATTAGCGATCAAAAGCGCTTTTTTATCGCATTAAGCCTATATCCCCTTTCATTTTTCGCGAACAATCCCTTTAATGCCAAAATGAGTTGCGCAACGTGCCCTGCGTTCTTTTATCATATCCACATACAGGACGACTCTATATCTTGTACAGGCACGTACATACTATATTAGGCTCATCTTTATATATATGTTGACTAGCTGTACTGTCCAGCCTTGCCTTTATTATTATAGTCCAAATTCCGCCTGCCATTTACCCGCGCTTTGGATTAAATCGTGATTTTACCTGAAGTGCCCGGCGTTCATTGTAGATAAATCGGCCAAGGGATTCATGATTTTTGCTGGAAATGCCAACAAACAAGCAGAGATTACCACTTTATATTTATAAAAATAGTAATGTTTGTTCGTCTGGCTGTTTGTTGAATCCGATCATAACTCATCCCTTGAAGGATTTGTTCCAAATGTTGAGTGGGAATTCAATTCTGTGTTAATTGGGGAGACATTTATAGAGAAGGTTTAGTTTCCGGACCAAGCTGGGTTCCCAAACAAGGAAATAATATCTTTATGTTTATACATACCATTGATAAAAATGTGAGTAGAAGGTTGGTGAATAGGGTTTTTTATTAGAATTATTATCATAAAATTGTTAAAAAACCAAAGTTGTAAAATAAAGTCAGAATTTCCCTTGAGAAAAAGCTGTGTACTAACTTTTCTAATTACAATAGTTCTTTACATTGATGCCAGTATAATATAAGACACCAGATAAGTAATTTGTCTTTGTTGTCTTTTTTAAATTTTAATTTTAATTCTAACCATAAAAAAAACTTTGTTAACGGAGCTAAATGTATAGCATAGCATTCTACAGAATTTACCAGTAAAAAGTACATTTAAAAACATCTCAAAATGTTTAGTTTAATAAAAAATGCTTGTTATTAAAATAGGAAAAGGTGACGAAGCGTCCGAAATTTCCAACAGTAATACAAATGTAGAAATGAAGAAGAAAAACTTCTAAAACAGGAAATTCAACTGTTTAAATTTTATTCTGATATTTCATCTCAGATATTCTGCTACAGCAGATCTAGCTACAATACAAGTGTTTTATGTGAAGAAAAACAATATGTTAAATTTTTTTTTTGAATTTTGTACACTCCCATACATGCTTCTCATTGTAGAAATTCAGTCGTTGCTGAAAATTCAGATTTTTAATCCGTATTTCAAACTAGGAATTCTATTAAATCAATGAGGCTTATATAGCAGATCTATCAACACAATTGTAAACCCACAAATTCTGATTTATAATCCCTATATCTTTGCAAACCAATGTCGTATACTTTAGATATTTCAAACTATGAATTCTTTCAAATGAATGAGTCTTATTTTAAAATATTAAAGGTTTTCACCATCAGGTTGCAGTTTGTTGACTCAAATCCTAGACTCAAATCCAAGACGCAAATCCAAGACTCAAATCCTAGACTCAAATCCTAGACTCAAATCCTAGACTCAAATCCTAGACTAAAATCCTAGACTCAAATCCTAAACTCAAATCCTAGACTCAAATCCTAGACTCAAATCCTAGACTCAAATCCTAGACTCAAATTCAAGACTCAAATCCTAGACTCAAATCCTAGACTCAAATCCTAGACTCAAACCCAAGACTCAAATCATTAAAAACAAAGACAACGTATTTTTAAATGAAACTCAAGTTCTCAATTTAAAAACTGTTAATTCGATATCCTACTTTCAAATATTTATTTCTCGCTATTTTAAACAGCTCACGTCAAACTAAAGTATTGAATCATATATATATTTCAATCAACATTATTTATATAGTGAGATATTTAGAAGATTTTTTTAAATTTCTAATATTTGATTGGATAAAGTTGCTTTGCTCATGCTTCTGCAGAAAATTGGAGAAGCTACGAGGTCACAAAGCCTTGTTCATATAGTGAACAAAATTGAAATTTAATGATACCGGTTTTAGAATTAAAATGAGTTTAGAACCGATAAAGGGACTGGGTGCTAGCACAACATTATCAGAATTAGGTATAAAAACTGTAAAGGAGTTGAGTTTTTGCCACAAACCCTGATTTTCTAATCTCTATATCTTTGTAACCCAATGTCGTAGACCTTAGATATTTCAAACTATTAATACTTATAGATACAATAATCTAAGTTTGAAATATCAAAGATTTGCACCATAAGATTGCAAAGAGATTTTAATTTGTGGCAAAAACTCAATTCCTTTATGAATCATTTTCATTCTCAATTTTCATCCTATGCAGCCTCCAAAAAAGCCTATTTCAAATATCCCTTGAAATTACAACGTCAAAATGATTTAACAAGTTTAAATACAATTTTTTTCGTTTAATCATGATTTATTCATAATTTATTCAGCAATAACCAGTCTAAATCGAAACAAAAGTCGTCCTTGTTTTATATGTTGTTAAGAAAGAACCAGTTTTAAGAATTAATTGTAATGACTGATATTTCTCTGAAAGTGTATTAAAAAGGAATTGAGTCTTTGTCACAAACTCTGATTTTTTATCCGTATATAATTTGAAGCCAATGTCGTAGACCTTAGATATTTCAAACTATGAATTCAGGGAGTATTAGTTTCAAAACTAACATTTGGCCCATTTCTAGTGTTAGAAATGGGCCGAATCTGCAAAGCTATCTTATTCAAGAGTATATATCTTTAAATCCAAGACGAGTAGAATTCATATCAATGTTAATCATTTACGCACTTACGTAACAAAACCTTAGATATTTCAAACTTTGAATTATTTTTGATCAAATAATCTTAGTTTTAAATATCAAAAGTTTTTCATTGGGCACTACTGAAAGTATGCAGAGATACAGGATGAGAGAGAGAAAATGGCAAACTAAGAAACTGAAGCCAGGGGTGTATATAGGAGACCCGCCAGGTTTCAAAGATGTAAGGATAAGAAATTTTAGTTTGTGACAACGACTCAATTCTTATTGTAAGTATACCTGTTGCAAATTAAACCCATAGCGCGCACGTGGATTTAACGGTTCTGTCAATGTTCCAGAAAGATGTGACTTTCGATCGCAATTTGACCCATAATTTTTTAGCATTTTTTTAAAATACTTTTTTGTCGGCATATGCATTATGAATAACAAAGGTATAGAATAAAAAAATCCGTGAGTTAAAGACCAAAACACGTTTGATTTCAAATAGAAGAAACCGAATGTCACTCAGGTTAGTCCGAGCTGAGCGATGCTTATATAGTTAAAAGACTCGATATTGAAAATTTTTCTTCTGCTTTTATTTGGTTTGGTTTGTGTAGAGCAAACCTATGATGAATGGTCTGGTAAGTATGAAGAGGATATGCAGCGTATTGGATATCCGGGCCCAGCAAATGCAGCAAGATTACTTAGGTCAGATATTTTTTAATCGATCAAAAGAAATGAGTCTTTTCCAAAAACTTAAAGTTTATAATCCCTATATCTTTGAAAACTGATGGTGAAAACCTATGATATTTTAAACTTAGATTATCTGATCTATCAGAATTCAAAGTTTGAAAGGTTTACAGCATAGGGTTGCAAAGATATAGGGATTAGAAAATCAGAGTTTGTGACTAAGACTTAATTCCTTTATCATATCATAAAAGTCAAACTCTATACTATAAATACTTGTCACTTGTCATGTAGTATATATGTCTGTATATAATTAACGTCAAAGCGGCAACTTACATGATCCCAGGGAAGGTTTATTGATGGTAAAAATTTAAATATTTGCCTGAAAAAAAATGTCGACATTTTTTCTTAAACTTTTTTTTTAATAAGAAGATCCGCGAAATTTTTTTGGGACAATGAAGAAAAACTGGCAAGTTAAAATTGCTTCTGGAAAAAAGCACCCTAAAAGCCTAATAATCTTTTATTTATAATGGTTAATATTTAGCACCCTAAACCCAAGGCTCACCAAGTATACTGCGACCTCGTAAAATCTCAAATATAATTTTTAACTAGAAAGTAAGAAAAAAAAGATTGTTTGGAGATCTAAGAATTGTTCTGATCTCTAGAAACTTGAGATATGTAAACAATAATGCAAAAGGAATTGAGGTTTTGCCACAACCTCAAATTTTCTAATTTATATATCTCTGCAACCAGTGAATATAAACCTTTGATATTTCAACTTAGATTATTTGATCAAACAGAATTAATAGTTTGAAATATCTAAGGTCTACGACATTGGGTTGCCAAGATATAGGGATTAGAATATTTGAGATTGTGGCAAAAACTCAGTTCCTTTAGAATTTCTTTAGTGTTTAAATAAATTCTAACCAAATATTTTGTTATATAAAGTTAAGGGGACTGTAAGCATAATTTCAATTTACCCTCAATTCAAAGAATGCAATGCCCGGTTTACAACGATACCCTTGAAACCTTTATCTGATCAATATGTGGAAGATATCTTATTTAAATATTTTAAAATATTTTAATTCGAATAACTTCTGTATGGTTTCCTGCTTCAGTTAAAAACACAATTAAAAATAATCTCGAGCTGAAAACTTTAGAATGTTTAATTAATCTGGAGATTAAGAACAAGAGGTGAAGAAGCATTATTTGATCTGGAGATTAAGAAAAAGAGGAGATTAAGTATTGATCTCGATATCCACCATTCTAAAGTTCCCAGCCCAGAGCTGAAAACTTTAGAATGGGATATCCTTATACCCGATAGGGTAATTAATCTGGTGATTAATAACAACAAGAGAACAAGCATTATTTAATCTCGCGATTAAGAAAAAGAGTGGATCAAGCATCAATCCTGATATCCACCATTCTAAAGTTCCCAGCTCAGAATTGGATATCCTTATACCCGATAGGTTAATTAATCTGGAGATTGATAACAAGAGGAGAATTATTTAATCTGGAGATTAAGGGGAAAAAAAGATTAAGCATTCATCTCGATATCCACCATTCTAAAGTTTTCAGCTCAGGTTTAGGAATATTGATATCTAATTCATACTTGATCGTAACAAAGCGTGGTGAATCATGAATGTTTGAACGGATGGTCACTGTAAATTACGTTTACAGTCCCTTGAAATAAATGAATTATAAAATGGCGTAGGAACCTGTGTCCTGATCCTTCAACGGTAAAAGTTCTAGATATGGCGGCAGGTATTTTATAAATTATAACTTCAACAAATATTACGTTCTTATTTACTTTGCATATACTAGACTAAATCATCATTCATTGAAGTATATTGTATACTTAATCATTACTTCATTTTTATTCATGTGAATTTTAAAGGGTATTTTTAATATTGATTTGCAAACTTATAAAATTAAAACATTTCTTTAAAAACATAATCTTGAATATATCCAACTAAAAATGTACATGCGTTAATATAAGTTTACTATCTAAAAATTATCTTACCATCTTCAATTAAAAGAAACTAGAATAATAATAAAATGTATTGATATATCTTATGTTAGGCAGCCTTAAGCCGAATTAAAAGAATTTGAGCCGCTGCTTAAATTTGAGACGCGGCTCAAATATGGTTGGTTCCATTTAAAATTGTATGCAATGTTTCAAGATTAAAGCCGGCGCTCAATTGAAACCGGTTTTTGGCGGATTTGAGACGCGGCTCAAATTCATTAAATTCGGACTCTTTTGTTCTATTTATCAAACATTTAGAGTTTTTAGGCTTTCAACAGTTTTTGGAATCATTGAACTATAAAAATGTTCAGATACAATTCTATTGGGAAGTAAAACTATAACCTTTTCTTAACGGACAATTTAAAATCTTAAGCTTATTAATTCAGAGCCAATCTTGTGCAAAAAAATTAACTTTAAGAAGAAACAATTTTGAAATATGCTAAACGTTTCTTCTTGAGTCTCATAAAAACAAAAATAAAAGTTAAGCGTTGATATAAAGGATAACAAAGAACAAAAAAATTCTTTTTTTGTAGGAACCGGAATGGTTGGACTTGAGTTAAAAAGGGTTGGGTTTAATACAATTCATGCATCAGATATGTCAGTCGAGATTATAAAGAGAGCAGAGGATAAGGTAAACATACTTAAAAATAAATTATTCATAAAAAATAAACATTTTCAAGCAAAAATTACGCCATGTTGATCCCTAGATTTTATAAACTATAAATCCAAGACTAAAAAAAATCAGAAAATGACCAAAAAATTTTAGAATAATAAATACTTTCTTTCCATTTTAGAAAAATATGAAATGCAACGTTTTTTGAACATCTTTTTCTACAACTGAGTTTTTTTACACTTAATTTTTAGGACTTATCTTCTTATATTCTTATTTTAAACATATATGTAAACTTTACCAGATATCTTTATCGTCTTAATTATTTAGAATAAAGAATTTTATGGATTAGCAGATTTGAAAAACTGTATTGTTTAATAAACTTTGCTCTGCAAGGGCGTGTATAAGAGAATTTTTCGCTGTGTGATGGGAGAAGAAAGATTGAACGCGGAAGACGACTTTTACTTTGGTATAACGATTGTGGGCTGCTTTAGTATTCCAGTTAAAGTCGCCATTTTCGAGGTGATGATTTATCTAATTTAAACTTTAGGTTAGTATTCTTAATCGTTTTGGATATTATCTTAAATAATTAAACTTCTAAGATTTCAAATTGAACTATGTTCAAGTTTTCGGTTAAAAAAAACTTTAACCAAAAAAGATAAGAAATGGGGAACCGATCCAAAAACTATAGTTACAGCACGCTCGTGTTTGTATTCACTTCTGTATGCCGAGTCCATTAGCGCTTGATCCCATCAGGGTTCAGTCATGTGTTTGGTGTTTATTCTGAACCAATAGAAATAGTACGGCGGTAACATCTATCTGTCTATCAATATCATTATCCAACTTGAGATAAATCCTTATATCGGCGCTTTTACAGTAAATGGAAATATTTTCCTCTACTGAAACTGTACATTATTGGATCGTGTTTCCAATTATCTTCTACCAGGCTCAACATTTGACAGAGTCAAAGAAATCTTTGAAAAACAAACAATTTTGAAAATGTCTGCAAAAAAACGACCCCAAAATGAACCAACTGAAGCTGCACATCGCTACTATTTTTGCTACCAGTATTCTGTATAAATAACATTTGATTTTGGTTAAAAATCTAGGAATTGAACCGGGTTCTTCAACCTGGCGGATATCTGGTTGCAAGCTTTCGACCAAACACGTGGGGAGAAGACGACATTTATGGTTACAAGGCGGCACTCAATCAATCAACAAAATGGCGGCTTGTATCGGATGATCTGCTGGACTTTCACGGAAGCTTGAATCGGGATGAAAACCATGAGTTCTACTCAAAATGGAATTTTGTTGTTTATCAAAAAATTTAAACTTATGCAGATTTAATTTGAAAGGATTTTTTTATTTACAATTATAGTGCATGAAGCAAAACTTAGTTGCTCCAAATTCTTAATTTTTACAATTTTACTTAAGATAAGGTTTCCAAAATTGTTAGAATGAATCCTGAGTAAAAATTTTAATTTCCCGAAAAAGTAGTTGCACACAATTTTATCTTCTTCTGAGATTGTGTCATCTCATTATATTTTATCACCATTCTTATTAATTCCCAAGCTGAAGTGTTCACAGAAATTTTCAGACCAAACGGTCCAGCTGTTTGGCCGGCTATACGCAACATATTTATATACGAATGTCTTGTTTTATTTTATAGATTTTAAAAATGTTCTCATATTTTACTGTTTAATTTTGTACTTAGGTATTCTGTCTGCATTAAATCTATAGATTTTGATTCTTTTTTTATTTGCTTAAAATTAATCCCAAAACTCACATATTTATAAATCTAAATAAAATATTTCAGCTATAGATATTAGTTACTAATCACAGTTTGGACACTGAGTATTGAAGTTCTCTATTCCATAATATCTACCAATTCTTCTCTATGCCCTCAGTCGTAGATTCTAAACAAAATACTAGAAGATTCAGAATTAAAATTCAGTACAGGGTGTCCCAATAAACATGAGAATTAAATGACAACTTCCATATCGTCGTTGATCCAAGCGGGATTATCTCGTAAACTTTATTTTGAAAACTACTAATCTCGGGATTTCCAAAATGCGGTGTACCATTTTTTAGCTTCAAAATTTTCGGAGTTATTATGAAATTTGTCCAAATTTTTAATTAACAAAATTGTTCTAATGTTTTAAGATACAAAGAAAGTAGACCACATTTTGAAAAGCTCAATAGACGTCCAATCTTTTTTTGATGCACTTTATGTCATTTATCAATTTTCGAAAATCCAAGACGATATTCAAGTCGTCTCTCAATTCCCATGTTTATTGGGACACCCTGTATTTCAAAGTGGACACAAGTTCCTAACAAAGCTTTATTTGTTAAAATTTATCAAAGGATTTATTTTTAAAATGTGTATCCAAGCGTTCAGTCCATTCTTTGACCCCTGATTTATCTAAGCAACCTCTAAAAGGTTTTTTCAAACATTTAATGAGGCAAATTTTCTTTTTTCGTTGAATTTTTTTTGTGTCGTCTCAACAATTCCCAAGAGTGTTCACTGTTCATGTACAGTGTACATACATACCTTGCTTAGATTATACAACAGTTGAAGTACAGTCACCTCCTGTACATGCGTTAACTACGGCATTCATCTCACTAAACATGGAAAGATTCTCCCTTTTGTGAAAATCACACAGTGATACAAAGGTTGCAATTGTTCATAAATTAACAAATTATTAATCTTTATTTGTTAAACCTGATGCTGTCACCTAATATTTCAAAATTTTACAATTTTATCTCACAAAATTTATAGTTGAAAAAAAGAATTCTACGACATCATGGATATAAACTAAAAAAGGATATGAAGATTAGAGGCAAATAGTAAGTCGAGAAAATAAAAAAGAGTTTGATTTCACACACATATTAATTATTTTGAATTGACAAGAATCCCTGTTTTGAAGTTTTGTTTTTATTTGTTTAATTTAAGCGGTCAGCCGGTCATATTCGGTCATATTCTAGCTGCGGTCAGCCGGTCATATTCTAGCTGCGGTCCCATTTTACCTGAAAAGTGTATCAAGCTCAGGTCCGAAAGGAAACTGCTCGCTTTCATGAGGATACACGTAGAAATCACTGTTTAGGGTCATCTCAACCTCAACAATCTAAAATATTCAAGGTTTGATGAAGAAAGGTATAACGGTATATAGGGTTACCCATAATGGATGAGATTGTAAAGACGACCGGATACTATTAAAGTGTGAAGATCTCAAGGTTAAACTATGTATTTTGCTTTAGATTATAGTAATCTACTAGATGAAGTGCCCGGCGTTGCCCGTAAAAAAATCGATTTTTTAAAGCCTTTGTCACTCCCAGGCTACCCATGAGTGTCCACAAAAAATTTCAACCCATTCGGTCCTGCTGTTTGGCTGGCCATAGGGAACGTACATATACACAAATTTCTTGTTTAATTATATGGCGTATTTAATAATTTGGCAAAGAAACAAACAATTGTTTAAAGTTGAAGAGAATCGTGATTATACAGAAAGAGACAGTATAGGTTTCGTACAATCGTCTCTGAAGTCTTATCCTGCGTAAGTAACCCTGTATGTTAAGGTTGTATCACTGAAAACTCCTGTTCAATGTACCGCGCGTCAGAGCAAAAGGCAATTGATCTTGTTTGAGAACTATAGTTACAATTAAATATTGTCGTTATTATTTTGACATTCAAGATTACCCACAACGGATGAGACTTCAGAGACGATTCAGAATTTATACTTTGAGCTTATTTATGATTCCATGCAACTGTAAACATTTTTATTTGCCTAATATGTCGCGAAAAGATTAAATTCAAGGCAGAATTTTTTACCAAGACCTCTAGTTTACCGTGCCTTGTAGTTATACAACAGGGTTACTCCAAATAGATTCTAGTACAATAGATGGCAACGTAGAATTTGTACACTCTCAGTACAGTTGTATTCTGTCGTCACAAGTGTCAATTCAGTTTTTGTGTCCGACAAAATTATCAATAATAGTGATAATTTTAGAATAAAGCGCTTTTCTTACAGTAAAATAAGTGAAATTTTATGTGTTCTTTAGTTTCTGTTTTTACAATTTTTTATTTAATCTTGGAAAACATTTCAACTAATGTGATAAAATTTCGTTTTCCTTGTTATATTTGACACTTGTGACGTCGAGTATAATTGGTTAATTTCTCTGTTGCCATTGTACTTGATAATCTATTTGGGGTTACTCAAAGAAAATTAGACTGTAAGGACACTCTTCTATTACATGATTACAAGGTTGCAGAATGAAGTCGTCTTCCTTGGCTAATTTAATGATTTAATGAACGAATTTAGTTTACAGTTACAGGAATCCACGAATCTAGGAAAACAGACAGTACAAATTCCGTACAGTCGCTATATGACGTCTCATGTCTTGTGGGTAACCTGTATCTCATGAGATGCTGTAATGCAAAGAAAGTTATTTCAGAAGTGTCTCTGGGCGGTAAGGTAAACACTAGACGGATGTTACCGCCTGACATTGGATCCATTTTTCACATAAAAAAATCAATGAAATATTCTGGTCGTTGGAAACTATTATGTTTATTATCAATATTATCAAATTTAATGCTTTTAACCTCCTCGGATACTAAAAGAACACTGATGCATGTATTCTTGTTTACAAATTCCGCCCAAAGAGAACTGGTTTCAACATGTACGCAGAGTATACACGACCGCAATTAACTTTCCCTGCACTACACCCTTGACAATATGTACCTTACTAGGATCTTGACTAAGATTTCCATCTTGATCAAAACATTGAACACCATTGCCTGTATAGCCGGGGTTGCAAACGCATTTATGAATTCGAAAACTTGCGAATTTCTTAGAAAATTTGCATGTTGCGTTGGGGTCACAGGCGTTGGTAATGTGTCTACAATCTCCTATTACAGCATCACAGTATTTCTTGTTGCGACCTTAAAGGATATTTAAATTAAAGATTACAATGATCGATTCACAACGGTACCCTTAGAAGCTTTGCCTGATCAAATATCAAGTTAGAAATTCAAGTTTTTATTTTGGAAAATAGATTATTTTTAATTGTGGTTTCTTAACTTAAGTGACTTTCGCATTTATAATGCGGAAAACATAAAGGAATTATTAGAATTAAACACTTCTAAGCCTAGTAAAATAGCCATTTATTCCACTTTATTGATCAGATAAAGGTTTAAGGGTACAGTTGTGAGCCGAGCATTGTCATGGATTATTACTTTAAATTACGTAATTAAAAACATGTAAATTCATAAATAACCATTTAAGAATATTTTCAAAATCTATTTACAAGTTTAGTACTGTACTGCAACTTTTAACTTGTGAATTTTTATCATACAGTGATAACCAGAAAACTCCGGAATAGGAAGTTGACTTTTAGACGGTGTAAACAGACCCATTTCAATTAATAAAAGATTTAACTACTTACTAGTTAAGCTATTTGCTTTGTTCAAACATTAAATGCATTTGAGCATTGGTTTAATGTCGTCTTCCTATTCTACAGTTTTCTAGATTTTTGAAAAAGAAATAAAGACCATTCTTTAAAAAGTTAATATTTACAAATTATGTTAATTACATATCAAAATCTGAGTTCGTTTCACTTATTTTTATTTGACAACTCATTTTTGTCTTTTAACAAGTTTTTTTGTTTGTTTATTATTCTTAGGATTTTTACCATTTTTTTAATATTAATTTTGTTAGTTATGATATCGTTAAAAGGGTCAATACAGACCAAAAATATTTTCAAAAAATGTGGAACTAACATATCTGTTTATTTTTCTCTGTGAGGTTTGGACGGTTAGGACCATCATCATCACCAAGTTTTAGACTTACCATTGTAGCAGTGGTTTCTAGGCGGAGAACTCCTTTTACCAGTTCCACACTGGTATCCCCCAGTAGCACACCAAGCACACTCATCAGTTCTACAATTTGATTTCAGATTCAGAATGTTTTTTTAAATTAAAAAAATTTCTGGGAACAATTATAGAAGGTAGCTTTATTTTTTCTAAATTGAAATATACTTATAATTAAAAATGATTAAGTTATCCCAGCTTTTCTTTCGACAAACTGATTATTTTTATTGACCAGCGCCATATTAAAGCTACAATAAAGCTAGAAAAATGATGCTAGTTTAAAAATTGAAGTTAACTTGAAATTAAAACTATGCCATTGTAGTCCAAACACACATACAATGCAGTTTAGCCTAAGAATCGTTTAAAAGTTTGAACATTAATTCTGAATACGCCATTTTATATTTTCACTTCATTTATCTTGCATATTATGAAAAAAACTCCAATAAAAAACAACGACTTTTGTTTCAAAAACTACCTTTAAGAAAATCATAGAGAATAGAATATATAGAGAGGAATTAAAAGACTCTCTCGGTATGAATTTTTTCAGTCCCTTTCAGCCTGAAAGGGAGTTCAAAGTGTACAAATCATGTAAATGTTCACAAATTATATGCAGTAGAGTACATTAATACAGTATGTTCCCTAGACTATCCATTTCAATTTCGAATTTTTTAAACTGTTAAATAAACTTCATAATTAATTAGGTGAATAAAAACATCATTTGATTTATAGTTATAACGGAAAATCATCGTTTGTAAAGTGGAAGGCATAGAGTCTATGTAAAATGATCATTGGTCAATTATGAAACCAGCCTATTTCATAATTTAGTTTTCTTTTAACAATTTTAGATTTTCTATAAAATGATATTCCAGGGCCCAACAGGTTATATAGTATAAATATGTGAAGTACACCTGCGGAATGGAAACAGTACAACAAAATGGCCGTTTTACACTTTTTTCCATTAAATTCCTCTCTATATATTCTATTCTCTATGAAGAAAATGTATGAAAAACAATGAGTGGAGTCAAATGTTTTGAAAATCTAACATTAAATAAACGCGTATTAATAAAATTAATTTAGGAATGTTTGAAAAAAAACTTACAAAATAAAAAAAATAATTATAAGTAAGCTGAAGAATACCTGTCCTGTTTCCAGTAGCAGGGATGCCCCCTGGTGGATAGAGTCCATCTTGATGCGGGTATACCAGGACAACCCTTAGTTAGGTTATTATAGAGATAAAATCGACATAGAGATCAAATTGTAATTATAGAGATATTATCGACATAGAGATCAACTTGTAATTATAGAGATATTATCGACATAGAGATCAAATTGTAATTATAGAGATTATTATCGACATAGAGATCAAATTGTAATTATAGAGATATTATCGACATATAGAGATCAAATTGTAATTATAGAGATATTATCGACAAAGAGATCAACTTGTAATTATAGAGATTATTATCGACATATAGAGATCAAATTGTAATTATAGAGATTATTATCGATATAGAGATCAAATTGTAATTATAGAGATATTATCGTCATAGAGATCAACTTGTAATTATAGATATTATTATCGGCATAGAGATCAAATTGTAAATATAGAGATTATTATCGACATAGAGATCAAATTGTAAATATAGAGATTATTATCGGCATAGAGATCAAATTGTAATTATAGAGATTATTGTCGGCATAGAGATCAAATTGTAAATATAGAGATTATTATCGACATAGAGATAATTATAGAGATTATTATTGGCATAGAGATCAAATTGTAATTATAGAGATATTATCGACATAGAGATCAAATTGTAATTATAGATATTATTATGGGCATAGAGATTACTGTAATCAATTCAGCATAGATATAATTTTGGTCCCTATTAAATTTTAATTTTTCACTATTAAAACAATAAACTTCATGGAGATCCTTGTCAACATAGAGTTCATGTTTTATAGAGATCATTTAATTTATGAAGATCATTGGATTTATAAAGATATCATAAATATCATTGTATTTATATGAATAATTTTATTTATAGAAATCATTGTATTCTTATAAATCATTGTATTCATATGAATCATTGTATTCATATGAATCATTGTATTCATAGAGATTATTGTATACATAGAGATTATTGTATACATAAAGATTATTGTATTCATAGAGATCATTGTATTTATATGAATAATTTTATTTATAGAAATCATTGTATTCATATGAATCATTGTATTCATATGAATCATTGTATACATAGAGATTATTGTATACATAGAGATTATTGTATACATAAAGATTATTGTATTCATAGAGATCATTGTATTTATATGAATAATTTTATTTATAGAAATCATTGTATTCTTATAAATCATTTTATTCATATGAATCATTTTATTCATTTGAATCATTGTATTAATATGAATCATTGTATTCATATGAATCATTCTATTCATATGAATCATTGTATTCATATGAATCATTGTATATTCAAATACATAGAGATTATTGTATACATAGAGATTATTGTATTCATAGAGATCATTGTATTTATTTGAATAATTTTATTTATGGAAATCATTGTATTCTTATAAATCATTGTATTCATATGAATCATTGTATTCATATGATTCATTGTATTCATATGAATCATTGTATTCATATGAATCATTGTATTGATATGATTCATTGTATTCATATGAATCATTGTATTCATATGAATCATTGTATTCATATGATTCATTGTATACATAGAGATTATTGTATTCATAGAGACCATTTTATTCATTGAGATTATTGTATTCATAGAGATCATTGACAATCTTTAAAATCATTGTATTTATAGAAATAATTTTTACAATGTAATTATTGAAAGATTCAAATTATATTAAAATACAATTGTCAAAAATCATTTAAACGAAAAAATAATTGATTTTAAAAAACTTACTCTGTTTGATGGTTTATAACAATATTTATGCATAGGGAACCCGCATTGCACAGCAGGTTCAGATGTTGTACAGCAGGCACAATCATCCCTAAACATTTTTTGTTTTGCAATCATCACTTAACATTTTTTTAAATTTTTCAATCTTCATTAAACATTTTTTAAATACAGAATCATCTCTAAACATTTTTTATAATGTCGAATGTAATACGACACACATTTAAGCTATTTAAATGAGCTCTTTCTGTTAAAGGAATGAGTGTTTGCCACAAACCAAAAGTTTCTAAATTCTATATCGTTTGCAACCTGATGGTTTTAAACTGTTGATTTTTCAAACTTAGACTTTATGATCTAACAGGATTCATAGTTTGAAATATATATGGTTTCCGACATTGAATTACAAAGATATAGGGATTTCAAAAGCAGAGTTTGTGGCAAAGACTCAATTCCTTTTGTGTTAATACTGTATCTGTAATTAATAAATAGTACCTTATTCAACGTCAAACAAAAGGTTATTGAGAGCTATTGAGAAAAAGCAAAAAGGTTTGTATTTTGTATCATATACCGGATAAATTTACTCTCAAAAAGGTTTTGATTTTGTATCATATACCGGATAAATTTACTCTCAAAAAGGTTTTGATTTTGTATCATATAACCGGATAAATTTACTCTCAAAAAGGTTTTGATTTTGTATCATATAACCGGATAAATTTACTCTCAAAAAGGTTTTGATTTTGTATCATATACCGGATAAATTTACTCTTAAAACGTGTGCGAGAGAAGCTATGAGGAAACAAAGTTGTACCAGTAATGTCACATGAAATTGACCATCTGTCTAGTATTCAATACATAAATATCAATTGTAACGTATTTAAATGTGTATTTACCAACGAAGGATAAACCTTTAATAATCTAACATGAAATCTGAAGGTTTAAAGTCTGGTAAAGGTCCTTTCAATTCTTTTTTTTGGGTAACTGTTTGTGCAATTTTTTTATTTCCACCCTGTATGACTTACCTGGTAAGGTCCCACCAACAGGGACACCCTGTATCGGTCTCTGTATACTTGGTAAAAATGCCTAGGTCCTAAACAAGTTATTTTGATCACGGAGGGTTCGAATATAGATAGAATATAGAATTGAATTGCAGAAGGTGGTCAATTACAATTTGAATTAAATTGAAATATGTAGATCGCAGTTTACAAAGCTATTAAAGTCCATAAGTGTTAATTCAATTACAATTCCCTCGTGACCGGTTTTTAAAACTTAATCTTTAAAACTAAATCTTTAAAACTAGAATAATTGTATAAAAGATGAATATTCGAATGAGAAAACCAAGAATATGTGTCATATATAGAGTCTATTACGCAGAATTTTTGTATATTTTATTTTGACCTCTCATTCAAAATCGGTTTGAAATACCGCAAAACATGTTATATTCTTAAACATCCGAATTATATGTTTAGCCCACCTAAAACGTATTTAATAGCTATTATAAAAATTTACATTTAATGGATAAATATTAAAGGACTTGTTTACCGTGGAGAGAGCAGGGGGAGATTTATGCAAATTTTTAACAATTTAATAAAATTAAACTTACAAGTTTACCAGCTTGACCAAGGACAGCTAGTGTCAGTAGTAACACAGGACCTCTCATTCTCCTGTTGTATATTAATACTATCAAGGCTGGGGGGTCTAAATCTATGCATAGCCTGCAGGGGGGTGGTGCCCCCCCCCAGAAAAAGGCCTTAGAGAATAGGTATAGAGTTGAAACGCATGTTCAAAGCCCAATTTTTCAAGGCCAGACCCTTTTTCAAAAAATCAGACCGATAACTATAATAGTTTGGGTGCTAGGGTGGGTTAAATAAATGCCAAAAAAAAACGGTCAAAAAATGTAAAAAATATTTTTGTTTTAAACAAATATTAAAGTGTGACACATGTTTCTACATCCATTTTTCAATGGCTTTTCAAAAATAAAGTGTTTAGATCTGTAGCTTTAGTGACAAAATAAGTTGTGGTTTATTTTAGATTTTATTTTACATTGACTGTTTTTTTTACCGCCCTTCACAATGCATTAAAAAATCCTCTAAATTTCTATTTATTAAAAGTCAACAAATTTCACTATGATACTGTCAAAAATAATAGTACTAGGACAACAAAAAACTAGAGTGGGGGGCGCACCCCCCCCCCCCCCCCTTCAGCCTTCTTAGGGTTAAAGAGACTGTTCACAAAGTTTGCTATGACCCTCCATATAAAGTATGCCATCAATGATTCACAATGAATGTGCATCTAACAGTTCGATCCTTAAACCATTTAGCAGTCACAATTTGACCTACGTAACATGATATTTTCAAGATTTGAAAATTTTTGAATTATATCATAGACCAAAACGCGATTGAACTTTTATATTAAGAGAAAAAACGCGTCTCGCCCTGGTTAGTTCAGTATATCAACATTTTTCTTATATTTTATGAAAATTTAATCTATTATAGGTCAATACAACTGTGAAATAAATGTGAAAACAGCTATAAGAGGCTCAAGGTGTGATTTTAAGTTATTTTATAAAACAAATTCAATTTTGAAAAAAAATATTTTTAGTTCATGTTACCCCAAGGGTACACAATACACATGAGTTTCTTCAAAAAATGTTAGCACATTAGTCCAGCCGTTCGGCCAGCTTTAGCTAACATATATACAATTTAATATAAATATAGATATATAAATATATATGAGGGAAGAGCTTTATTATATGTATAGGAGATGAAACACAGCAATTGTGCAATGTGTACAAAGAACCATTTATCTTAATAATTTGATATACAAGCTGGTGGTCAAATTTTTATAAATATATAACATCAAATAGACATTAGATTGCTTAAAAGTCGTCTTCATATCCCCATGCATCTTCAAAGTGGATGTATGTTTTTTTATATTAAAAAATGCAGTTATGTTATCTTTGTAATTATTTCTTAAATTTTCTTATTCTTCTTTTAAATCAGTGATGGCAAACTTAACATGAATTACTTTAGCCCCGTATCTACTGGATTCTAATCTTTTTATAAATAATTGTTTAATTTTCATGATTGATTGTTTATTTTATGTATATGAATGTTTATTTTTTGTGTTTTTTTCAGAAGTAATTGTTTATTTATTTTAAGAACATTTTGTTATTAAAAAATTCATTCATACTTGTTTGTTTTACAACAAAACATTCTGATAATTGTTTATTTTTCAATAAGAATTTGTTTAGTTTTCATAAATAGTTAAAAATTTTGTCAATTAATATAAAAAATGTTATTTTTCCTGGTTCTGTTACCTGTGTCTGATTACTCTCCTGGAGAGAGGGTTCTGTTACCTCTGACTGGAGTAACCGAACCCGTCCTATATATATCCGTCCACAGATGTACCCATCCTTTCATCCTCCTTTCATATATTCATCCTATTCATCTATTCATCCTATTTAACTATTTTAATGATTGAATTCCAGCACGAAATTTAAATATTTCTTTTTTATCCTATATCCTGTTCTTTCACTCCTCAAACATATGTCAAATGTGTTTTTAATATTTTAACATTTAAAGGGAGTGTTCGCGAAAAATGAAATGGGGTATAGGCTTAATGCGTTAAAAAACACTTTTGATTGCTACTAATCTTACTTCTATCTGTTGCGTCTATAAGAAGAAACTTGTTAAAGACGTCTCATACCGAATAACTTAGCGCCCATACAAATTCAGAAAATTGAAACATACGACTTTGACCGTAAAAAATCCATTTAATTTTAAACAAATCATTTAGACAGTACAACCTATAGTCATCGATTATCTTTCGCCACATTTGTATATAGTTTATATTTTATAATATTTTATTTTTTTAGAAAACGTTTTAACTGATTTCGAAAAATGTGAGTGGTCCGCGGCATTCTTAGATAGTTGCGCAAACCGCAAGAGAAATAATCAAATTCAAAACAAATTAATTAAGAAATACTATAAAATATAAACTATATGCAAATGTGGCGAAAGAAAATCGATGACTTATGTTGTAATATCTGAATGATTTGTTTGAAATTAAATTGATTATTTTATGTTGCAATTTTCTCAATTTGTATGGCCGCTAAGTTATTCGGTATAGGTTTATGAAAAATCAAAATTTCAAATATTTGTCTCCATCAAAATTCAATCGTCATTAATTTTTTAAAAATTTTGAAAATCCGCGAAATTTTTTGTGAAAATCCGCGAATTATTTTTGTTTTGTTTTACGATGTACACAAAGAGAACATGTTCACAATTAATTTAGAAGATGGGCGCGAAGCGCCCTCTAAGGCTATAAGTTATAAAAGATAAACGTTACAAAAGATATATTAGCTATGACACACAAAAATAGGTCATAAGAAATAGTTAATATTAAATTAAAACATTTTTTGGTCGTTTTAAGGTTGAAAAATGGGACCTTCTCTCTTTAAAGAAATATGAAAGCATAACTTCAAGTGATCCTCCATGCAAAGATGGCAATGTTTGATTCACAACAGCACCCTTTAAAGCTTTGTCTGATTAAGTAATAATGATATATTCATGTTTTTGTTTATTTTAACTGTTTATTTTCATTTTTGGGTTCGCTTCAAATGTTTAATGAGGTTCAAAGGTCTTCTCTTTTTAACTTTGAAAATAACCTGATGAATCGCATTTATTTCCTACTGCGCTATTTAATAGGTTTTGTTTAGTGCTGATCATCATTGTATAATCATTTTCTAGTATTAATATATTCACACAAGTACAAAAATATACATACATATATTACTGGTGTTGTTTAAATTTGTTTAGATATTTCGAATATATATAGTTTTATTAAAGAAAAAAAATATGCAAAATTATACAAAAATAGGCAATTATATATATATTTATAAATACTAGCCTTAGAGGGCGCTTCGCGCCCATCTTCTAAATTAATTGTGAACATGTTCTCTTTGTGTACATCGTAAAACAAAACAAAAATAATTTGCGGATTTTCACAAAAAATTTCGTGGATTTTCGAAATTTTAAAAAATTTAATGAAGATCGAATTTTGATGGAGACAAATATTTAAAATTTTGATCATTCATAAACCTTCCCTGTGGTCACGTGATGTCCCACAAAAAATTTGGGCCCGATCGGTTCAGCCGTTTTGACGTTTATTGGACACAAACAAACAGACAAGACAAATTTATATATAGATAGGGATTAGAAAATTTTTGTAGTTTGTGGGAAAAAACTTAATTCCTTTGTATTTCAGGGATTTAAAAGGGTTAAAGGGATTGTAATCAAAAATTCAAGTGTCCCTTGATAGGGGTAACCTTGATAAGTTTATCTGTTCAAGTATAAATTATTTATCTTATTCTTGTTTTATTAAAATCAATTGTATATCTACAAAAGTGGCTTGCGCATTTCTTGCTTCAGAAGTAACGAATGAATTATCAGAATTAAACACTTGTCTTCCATATTATTAATCAGAAGAAGGTCTCAAGGGTACCGTTGTGAATCGAGCATGCCCTAATTTATTTTTTAATGGAGGGTCAGCTAAAATAACAATTTTTTAAAGTTTTACATAGAACACGATAGCGATTCTTTTCCGATATAATACTAATATTTTGTTCGTTCCTTTGTCAATATAAATAAAATGTTAAATCATATTTAGCTGTTGACATCTTTTTTTCCCCCCTCAACAATACATGTCAATCTTTTTGCGTTCACATTTTGTTCAATAACACTGTAGGTTACAAAAAAGTTCTAGTAATTTTAAGTCTTTGCAATTTAAATATAAATCAATCAATACATTACATTTATACCGACGAAATTGAGTTTATTATTATTTTTATCATCTCTATATCTGTTCAACCTAATGATATAGATCATTATTAGTAGTTTGACATAATAACGGTTGCCAAGGAATAGGAAATAGAAAATCAGAGTTTGAGGCAAGTACACAAGTATGAAAAAACAATCTGGAACGAAATTGAGTCTTTGACACAAACTCAAATTTTCTAATTCCTATTTCTTTGCAACCTTATGAAGTAAACCTTTTATATTTCAAACTTAGAATATTTGATCCAACAGAATTAATAGTTTAAAATATTTAAGATTAGAGCACATTCGGTTCGGAAGATAAAGAGATTAGAAAATCAGAACTTGTAACAAAAACTCAATTCCTTTCAATTACTCTGCTTTATCAGATTTACTTTATTGATAAATAATAAAATAAATAGAAATTTATGTTTTACTTTATTGTAGATAAATAATACAATAAATAGAAATTTGTGTTTTACTTTAAAGTAGATAAATAATACAGTAAATAGAAATTTGTGTTTTACTTTATTGTAGATAAATAAAACAATAAATAGAAATTTGTGTTTTACTTTATTGTAGATAAATAATACAGTAAATAGAAATTTGTGTTTTACTTTATTGTAGATAGATAATAGAATAAATAGAAATTTGTGTTTTATTTCATTGTAGATAAATAATACAATAAATAGAAATTTGTGTTTTACTTTATTGTAGATAAATAATACAATAAATAGAAATTTGTGTTTTGTAGATAAATAATACAATAAATAGAAATGTGTGTTTTACTTTATTGTAGATAAATAATACAATAAATAGAAATTTGTGCTTTACTTTATTGTAGATAAATAATACAGTAAATAGAAATTTGTGTTTTACTGTTCAGATTTCCCTATAACAGTAAGCATGATCCATCCATCCTCTATTATAAACTGGTAGACTTCTCTGATAGAGACATCTAGTGTTGAAATTATGAACTACTAAATATCCTTCTGTGACTAGAACCATATCTGGTAATATTCCAATATATTTACTGCTCTCCATGGTATAGGCTGCAGTATGTTCTAATAAAGATGAGCTGCTATTAACAGCTGCCTTCTGTCCATAAGCTACAGCAGCTTCTGTTAGAACCCAAGCTGCTCCATCCTGAAGCTTCTCTTTACAAATTGGGGAAGGAGCAGCGTATATAAACAAGGATTTAGAACAAACCTGGCTGATTACTCCTGTATATATATCCTCTTGGTATATTCTAGAGGATATAGAGGATGAATTATCTGCAACATGAACCAAGAAAACAAGATCAGGAAACTCATTCATCAGGGTTGAATGAATAAGATACATTAGTTCAGGGTTAGTCAGGTTTCCATTCTCACAAAGTTCATCTCTTCCCACCAGCTCCCAGGGGTACATGGAGCAGGAACTCAGGGTTAGGGATAAAACAAGGATTAGAATTGTTGGCATATTCTCCATTGTAGTTATTATCTGTTAGGTTAGATGGTTCTAGGATATAAGATTGGCCTTGTATAGGTGTTGGCTTGGTTTACTTTGAAAAGAGTTGGTTTTCTGAAGTGATGAGATAAAAACTTGTTGGTGACCAGCTTTATAAATAGATTGGTTTTTGTTTATCAAGGATGTAGGTGAACCTGGATAGAGAAGACAATTAGAGGCTTTGAATACAGTAATGAAGAAACTGTGAATATTGAATATATTTCTGACTTTATATACTCCGATATCATTCTCTGCACGCCTGATAATGTATGGCTATAGTATCAGGTGGATAAACAATGCTTTAATCATGTTACTATATATTATTGAATAAAGTACGTTTATCCTCTTGTACTTTAATCTATAATTAGTAATAGTAGTATACTTATTATTCAGCTGGGTTATATCATGAGATAGGGACGTGCACTTCGGTTTTACATTAAAAATGGAATTCTATTCAAAAGGATATTAACTGTGGGGCTTATTGAATCTCGCCGAAAAAAATTTATTTAGGTGATGGTTTTAAATTACTTTTGCTAAATTCTGATTACTAAAATTACATTTAAAAATAGAAAATGTGCAACATAATTTTTCCTTCAACTTAAATCAGAAAATAAGTTGAAAACAAGAATTTTTAAGATTAAATAATTTTCTACAATAATACATTTTAGATTGTAGTTAAAGACAATTTGCCATTAAAATCTCATTATTATGTCAGAGTACCTCATCGGAGACCTTTTTTTATAGGAAACCCTCTACATTTCACTGGAGAGATTCCATTTATATCGGAAACCGGCTCTACATTTCATTAGAGACCCACTTTTTATTGGAAACCCTCTACATTTCAATAGAGACCCACTTTTTATCGAAAACCCTCTACATTTCATTGGAGACCCACTTTTTATTGGAAACCCTCTACATTTCATTAGAGACCCACTTTTTATTGGAAACCCTCTACATTTCATTAGAGACCCACTTTTTATTGGAAACCCTCTACATTTCATTAGAGACCCACTTTTTATCGAAAACCCTCTACATTTCATTGGAGACCCTTTTTTAATGGGAAACTAGCATTTTTTTAAGTTCCCGTACCATGGATAAAAGTGGAACAATAT